CATCATAACTTACTATATTTTTCTTGGCGCACGTGAAAAATGTTTTTTTAGAAAAACATATCTTGCCGTGGTTCTCCACGGGAACTTGAAGAATTTTTTTTCGATTTTGTCGAAATTTTTGAGATTTATTGGTTATTTACAATACTTATCACGAGCATTGTAGCCATTTTCAATTGCAATACTAGAGCAGTTTAAAAAGTACCCGAACGCTGCGGTTTTGAAGCATCCCATTGCCAGACCGTTCCATTTACTATAGGTCTCAAACGTAAAAGCTGACCTAACCAGAACTAAAAACTTATTTTTACGAACGATAATAACCAATAAATCTCAAAAATTTCGACAAAATCGAAAAAAAATTCTTCAAGTTCCCGTGGAGAACCACGGCAAGATATGTTTTTCTAAAAAAACATTTTTCACGTGCGCAAAGAAAAATATAGTAAGTTATGATGAGAATTTTATGCTGATTCTCATGATATAATTTTTTTTCGAAATATTGAAGAATAATAAACATAATTAGTTTTTTTATTCTTTGCAGCAGTTCGTCTTATAGATTAACAAAAATCACAGAAAATGTATCTTTTCGAAGCTATTTTTCATATTTTCAAATTGAACCGCTCATATCTTATAGTCATATCATTTCCGAAGATATTTCTCAGCAGAAGTTCAAGTGAATTTTAATGTTTATCTATGGCAAATGAACGAAATACTGTTAAAAGAGAGTTAATCCCTAGCTAAAATAGCTGGTGCGTTCGCTTTAATTACATTTTCTTGCTGGTCGTTCGCTTTATGTGTAATGCACATAACGCGAACGGAGTCTTTTCTTATAAATGGAATAAAAATTTGAAATTAACTTTGATGAAGCTGAACCTCTAGAGAATGATAGAGCTAAAGATGACGAATCGAATAAACTAAATTTCATAAAATTTAACTGAAACCCGTAAACAGCAATAGACAAATATTGTATGTTTTTTTATTTTCTCTTATTTTTCGCTGATGCGTTCGCTTTAAGGACATTTTCTTTCTGGACGTTCGCGTTAGAAACTATGCACATAAAGCGAACGTTTTTAGTTTTTAATTTTCTACCGCTGATTATTCAAAAATTTGAATTGTTACAAACTTTTTTGTTTATATGAGAAGCTGCAGAATTTTGTTTTCTTTCCCGTGGTATAAAAATAATTATTTTATGATGAAAAATGACAGAGATATCAGAGATACAATGAAGACCTATGAAATGTTCGTTCGCTTTAGGTACATTGACTCTACTTGAATGGAGTGTGTAATTTTTTCTAGAGTTTAATAAATGAGATTGAATATTATACATGAGTTATCTTTGTAGAAAAAAATCAAGAAAAACTATACAACCAATAAAATGAGAACTAATAATGGTAAGCAAGTCTTCGCATGGCAGATATTTTTTGACAAGGGTCTATTGTACGTGTATTTGACACGAAATTGAAATACAAATGAAGAGTCGATGATTTTATACACGGGATAATTTTACGCTGTGATTTAATAATTAAATTTTTTTCTAATGTGAAGATAAATACTTTTGTTATCATCGTATATATGAAAAAATAGCAAAAAAAACACTTGTGAAGCAAAAATATGAAAAAAATCGAGAAAAAAATTCTACAAAAAAAAGTGATACAAACAACTTTTTTTTACATACTAACTGATGATTAAGTTTTTAATTAGTTTCAGAAGATAGTTTATCTTTAAGAAAAACAGAAAACCCAAGATTTGTTGAACTGAGGCGAGCACGTTGTTTTCGTCCATAATATGCTGCTATACTGAATGCTGATTCTGATTTTATGCTCGTACTAGGCGTAGCCAAATATTTTTGAGCAAGTATTACTAAATTTGGTAATAATAATTTATTTTCTTTCCAAAACGTCATCGGTTCATAACTATCAACCGACTTGGCTACAAATTGACTGGCTAATGTCTTGTACAATTTTATTTCGTTATTAATAATTTTGGTTGACGTTAATGATGTTTTTTGCGTTTGTTTTGTATCATTATTATCATCTTCAACTAAAGTATCAAAAAAATAATCCATGAAAGATTTTTTTTTTCCATTTTGCTTCGATGATGATGAAAATTTATTGATGTTTGATGTATTAGTAAATGAAGATGATGCTGTTGATGTTTGTGTTTGACTATTTGATGTTGACTGACGAATTAAATATTTTATTTCATTTTCAATTGTATTAATTTCACTACTTGTCATAGCCGAGACTGCAAATGGATCAAAATAAGCGTGAAACTAGAACAAAGAAAAAAAACATATTTTTTTGTAAAAAATACACCACTATTATAACAAATAATTCACCAAGATTGTTTCTGTTTGTGAAGGATCTTGTTCTACAGTATAATAAATCAATTTTTTTAATAAACAATCTTTCATATGGTTGAATAATGGAGCATCAGTTGGTTTGACAACTGACAAAAAATCTTTGTCAAGACGACGAAACATAAGAAAAGCAAGACCTATAGTAGGATACTCGCTACCACCAATTGTTTTAGTTACACCATAGAAAGGCTTGAGTACTTTAACTAAGAGTTCAACTGTGTACCAACAATTACTTGAAAACTCCATAGCAGCTAAGCGCTGGTATTGTTCCTTGGTAATACCTAAATTAGCCATATTTTGAAATAAATCGGTGATAATGTATCGATATAATTTCAACGTTGTCAACATCTTGAACGTTGAATTCCATCTAGTACGAACGTCCAGATGCAATGAACGTTTAATTTTATCATCATTATGAAGATTATGTTCTTCTTTTTTTTGTTGGACGAATGAATATAAAATTGAATTATCTTTAATCATACCAATCAAATCTCGACTCTCTGAAAAAAAGATATACATAAACAAAGAACGATCTATTTTAAATATTGTAAATAGGCAAAGAGATCACTGAGGTAACTCATACATATGATGTAAAAAACAATCACTAACTTTCGACAACTAGAGTAATTCGTTCATCTAGTTGTGTTGATGATAAATTTGAATATTCATTTGCATCAGTAATAACACCTACTTCAAAATTATCTTCAATATCATCAAATGTATTATCATTTTCATCGTCACTACAAAATGAATCTGTATCATAATCATCTGAATGATTTTCTTGATTATCATCAAGATCAATAATTTCATCTTTTTCACCATTCTAAAAGAAGACCAATATAAACAATTAATTCTTTTAAAAAAGTTAGTTAGCGCAGCTCCAAAGGAGCTGAAATGTGGAACTCACGTATATCCTTTAGACTTGTTATCCTAATATATAATCTGTAAACTGAAAGATTTCTGTTGATTAAAATGATTCTTATAACTCATCACTGACATAAACAATATTTTATTATTTATTTGTACATTTAAAACTGCGACTATCTTTTTCGTTTGAGCGCGCCCGACTTTTTTAATTAGTGTTGCTATATACTCGATAATGATCATTTGTTTTTGTTTTTTTTTTATTTGAAATTTTTTCATCATCAGCTATTTTGTAAATACGAGTCTTACAATAATGCACTTAATATGCATTAGCCATTCTTACAATACTTTTATACATCTCAATTAATTTATCAATAATGATATTGTTTCCTTCTGACACTAATAAAAAGATCGAATCATGTTTCTTGTATTGATTATATTATCGGTACGATAGATTAATACCTATTATCACTATTCACCGTTGATTTTTAGCATACAAGTTTAAATTCTTAAAAAAGTCAACAATTATACAGGGTGGTCCAAAAGTCGGTATACCGAAAAAAAATTGAATATCTGCATTACGGCTCAGGCAAATGAGCTGATTTTTTTATCAATGATAGAAGCGTATTCAAAGTTTATATTCATAAAGACATGCCCGGAGAAATCCTTTGTTAAGTATAACAATTGACCTTAACAAAAAAAATTCTACTTTGTCACAGATAGGAAAAAAGAAAGATATACTTAACGAAGGGTCTCTCTAGGTATGTCTTTATAGATGTAAAGCTTACACATGCCTCCAACATTGACAAAAAAATCAGCTCATTTGCTCGAGCTCTAATGGAGATATTCGACTTTTTTCCGGTAATGTGGCTTTTGCGCCACCTTGCATATTGTGTTTTCCTATTGTTTTTTTCTATCTGTGACAAAGTAAATTTGTTAAGGTCAATAGTTATACTTAACAAAGGATTTCTTTGGGCATGTCTTTATGAATATAAACTTTGAACATGCTTCTATCATTGATAAAAAAATCAGTTCATTTGCCTGAGCCGTAATGGAGATATTCAATTTTTTTTTCGGTATACCGACTTTTGGGCCACCCTGTATTATTAAGAATTTTGTTAAGTGCATATTAGTTTTTTCAAATAATTATGAAAACATTATAATATTGTATAGCAGTCAAATTCATACTCTCCATACCGTTCAAGCCTTTTTCTATTGTTAAGTAAAGCTTAAATTTTTTGTGTGCAGTTGCTGAGGTTTGTAATGGTGACCTATCTGTAATGGTGGTGCTGTCTGTAATAGAGGCCTGTCTGTAATGTTCTCTTTCCCTTTGCTATGTGTCTGTAATTGGGTGGGGAGAGGGGGAGCCGCCAAACCTCGAACCGAAAACTTACACTCACTATTTTCTTCGAAAACATACGTGAGTTCCACAAAACAAAAAAATATGCTTACAAGATCTTCATTTTCACCTTCATCTTCAATAGCATCAATACTATTTTCACCACTATATTCTTCATCGGTTGATTCTTCTTTATCAATAATGTTAATTGTTTGTAAAGATTGACTTAATCGTTCTTCAGGATCGATTAAATTTGTTTTATCGGTTGTATTTGCTTTTTTTTTCTTTTTACCAAGCCATAAACCAAGGCCATTACAAACAATTAAATGAAGGAGATGTGCTTGACAACGAATACGAATAATATCCAAACGTGTTAAATAATTAAACATTTTAATCATATTGGGTGCTGAATCACATGTAATACTTGTTACTTTTTCAAATATATTTAATTCAACTAATTGTTTTTGAATTTCAGCGCCAATTAGTTCTGAGAAATGACGTTTTTGAAATGTCGAAAAACGTAATACAGTTGAATGTAAATTAAATTCATGATTTATATAATGTCCAGTTAATACCAAATATGATGAACCTTTGTCTGACCAGAAATCGGTCGTAATAGCAATAAAAGGTACTTTTGATAATAAATTAATCATAGAACCAGCATGTTTAGTATGAAGACGTTTTAAGTGTTTATTAATATAATTTCGATGTGGAGGACGATAATCTAAATCAGACGTAGCTGAATAAAGTAAATAGATTAATAACAATGTTTTCTTACTCGGTACTATTAATTGAAGAAACTTTCGAAATCCTGGTTTAGAAAAATCATCGAAAGTTCGACCATCCTGAATAATGGCCACCAATGCTGCTTGATCAATTTTTTTTTTCAAATGAGAAGATATTTTTTTTTTATTTGAACGGTTTACAAGTTTTTCTTTATCTTGAAATTCTTTTACTTTATGTACGTCACGTAAATGACGAATTAATGTAGTAGTTGAATAAAGAGGTGTTGATAAAACTTTATGACAATTTTTTATTAAACATTTTGCTTGTAATGTTTCACCAGTTTTTATTCGTTGGAAATACTTCCAAACTAGTGATTGTTTATGAATTGTTGATGTTTGTGTTGCTGTTGTCATCATGGATGACTCGTGATCGACGGTGGTATTTCGTACCTGAAATTTAGACAATCTTAAATTATTAACAACAATGTGTTCGCATACTTTCATGATAATTAAATAATGATGCTGTTGAAGGCAAAACAAGATGATTCTGTTAAAGAATCAACAAGATACTGATGTTGATTTTGTTGAAGAATAAACAGGATGATAATGGTGACGTTGTCGAAAAATCAACAAGATGATGATGATATTGTTGAAGAGAAATAAGATGATGATGATGTTGACGTTGTGAGAAAATAAATAGGATGAAGATGGTGACGTTGTTGAAGAGAAAATGAAGGTAATGTTCGTAAAGAAGCAATAGGATGCTGATGATGACGTTGTTCGAGAAACAAGATGATGATGTTGACGTTGTTGGAAAATAAACAGGATGATAATAGTGATTATGAACGATTAACTAGAAGATAACCATAATAGTGGGTAAATTTCAAAAAAGAAGTGAATTCGTTATTTATTAACAATGGACTGTCTAGACAGAAAAAAATGAATCTAATATCTACGAATAATGAACAACCTAGAACAAATATATGACCTGGTTATCTCATATCGATTGATACGCGCACGGTACGACACATTGGTACGTGGAGTTCATGTGCAAAATGTATCGAACACGTACTAAAAGTGTATCATCTGATCCTTTATAAAATTATCTTTGTTTGCTTCTAAGATTACAACTAAATTTATTATTATACCAAAAAGATATAAAAGAATTTTATTGTTTCATAACATATAATACAATGAATGTAAAGTAATCTCTTAAAAATGGGAATCACAGTTCTTTTAATTGACACTCTAGTGCTGTTTTCATTTAATTGACCATAAGAATATAAGAAAAAGAGTCAGATGTCAAACTAAGCCTATTTAAAATAACTGCACTTTGAAAGATGATTTCGAATCTCAACTACACCAGATTAGATAAATTTTATGTGTTTTAGTTTAAAAATTAGACTATTCATAACAAATTAGTTTTATGGTATTTAGAATAAATAAAAAGATCACAATTCATTCATGCTTCTTTATTTTTATCATAAAAAATACTCCTATTAAAATAATTTACAAAAAAAAGAAATCAAACAAAATCCTAACATTAAAGTACTGCAATTTTATTTTACTCTAATTTCGAATAGATTATTTTGTTCGACTACTTCTGTTTTAATTGAAATAAAATAAAATAATTGCATTAATCGTTTATATCAGGTTTACCTTATTCTTTAATTCTATTTGATTAAATATATTGTAATTTACATAGGGCAGTCGAAAAGTAATGAGAATAGTACTTTAGTTCCTTTCAAGAAGTTTTAAAAACCTTTCTTTATATATAGTCTGATAGAGAAAAGAATGCTCTATTTTTCTATGCTATTTGATTATACTTCAACTAATCTAATGATAATAAATTTTCGGTAAGACTTTTTTCGTTACCATATGTACTGGATGAAAACGGAAGAGACAGATTAGTTTCAATCTCATAATAGATTGTATCAACAATCAAAATATACCATAAGATGCAGCGTGAAAAGCTCTACATTTTATATACGACCAATTATTTTCTA